GAAGTAGAGAAATAAAAGAAGTTAAAAAGATAAGAAGCAAGACTAAAGTACAAGGGATGATTACCCAAGCTTTGGGAAATAAGTGAAAGAGGCAGAGGGGAAAGGAAGAAGTAAAAATGTAGAAAGAACTAAACAAAATTTAAAAGCCAAGGACAATGTTCACACTTATTAAAAAATATCCAGAAAAAAGACCAAAAAAGAGAGAGACTGGTTTGTGATTTCAAGCCTGTTGTTATCTTCTGGGGGTCTACATATTTGTGGTAGTGTCCAATTCAGGGTGTTTCTGCTGTCACTGGTAAACAAAAGGAACAGATCTATGCTGGATGATCCCAGCAAGCTTGCAGTAATATTACGGCAGGTTGCTGGATAATCCCAGCAAGACTGTGGTAGGAATAAGACAAGGTACCAATACTGATGCTATCAACTCCATAGAAGTTCAAGCTGATCTTGGCCTCTGGTTGTGGGTTTGGGGCCTGAATTGTTCAGTCTACAACACTCTGGCTATTTCTTCCTTACCTGACCTCAGTTCCTGGCCCTAGATGTCTCCTGCAGTTGTGCATCACCCAGTCACCAGAAGCCCTGAGATGAAGCAAACCTAGGGCTGATCTGAGTCCCCAGGAAACTTGTTCCCACCCTAAAATAGTGTCTGACCAAGTACACTCTCCAGGGGACACTTGGACTGGAGTCACTACCCAGCTGTTGTAGCTCACAGCATCAACTGCTCCATTCCACTGGAGCATTGCTCTGTGGAGGCCTCTGGATTCACCTGCCTTCACTGTGCTTCTGTAGTTTTGAACCTCTTCTTTCATGATGCAAGGCAGGAATCAGGGGGAAAGTTCAGTTTTTCATCTTCGTTTCCTGTGTTGAACTCTGTCTGTTCACTTCCCTGTGGGCTCCAATTCTCCCTTCAGATCCTTCCTGGGTCCCAGAGATCCACCTCCCACCATCTTTTCTTCCCCTGGTTATTATATTCCAGTGTGTGTATTCTGAATCTCAGAGTGGCTGATTTGCTGCTGTTTACCACTCGGCCTTCTTCCCAGAACATTAGAGATGCATTATATATGGAGGGTCTACAGCATTTAAACAGCTGGAACTTAAGAAAGAGAGAAGAAAGATGTTAAAAGTGACAGGAATTGATAGTGCTATAGTTTCTTGAGGTAAGGAAAAATGGGGGAGAACTATGGTTTGTTTCAGGTAGTAGATCTTCTAGACAATGAATTTGGTTTTGAAAAAATTGCATTTGAGGTGTGTATGAGATATACAAGTGGAGATAACAAAAATATGTTAGATGTATTGTTTGAATCTCAGAAGAAAGAGCTAGAGATAAGAAGCTGAGAAGCATGTGCCTAAAGATGAAAATTGAAGTCATTAAAGTAGACAATAGGGAAAGACTTGAGGAAGAAAGGGCAGCTGTGTAATATCACAACTAACTTTTCAATGTTACATAGAGGAACCACAAAGAGAGATGGAGAATGAAGAGTCAGAGAGAGAGAAGGAAATTCAGTACAATAAGGGTTCTCCAAATCAAAGAAAAAGAGAACATTAAAAAAAAGGGTGGTCATCTCAGGTGAATGTTGCTGAGTTGCCAGGAAGAGTGCATTTAGCAATGTGTCACTGTGACCTTATCAAAAGCTATTTCAGTGGAGTCATGTGGGGCAGAAGACAGATTGGAGTGGGATGAGGTGAAGAAATAGAGACAGAGATGTAGATAATTCAAAAAATATGTGTTGAATGGTGGGAGTGAGGTTGTTCAGTAACTGAGGGGTGGTGAAGGATCCAGAAGTGTTTGCTTTGTCTGTTTGTTTAAACATCAGAAAGACTAAACATGTTTAAAAGCCAGAGGAGGAGGAGGACAGCAGAGAAGAATCAAAAAGTTATCCAGTGGCATGAATTTCCTAGGGTCAAGTGAGGATGGGATCCAGAACACAAGAATAATCCTTTAATAGAAAGGATGTCTTTCCATGATGGTATGAAGGAAAAGAAGAGAAGTTTCTTTTCTAACCTAATGGTCTCTACGCTAGGAACTACAACTGTCTCTAGATTTAGTGGTAGAGGCTTGGAACTCGAGTTGAGAAGGTGGTAAAGACATTTGCTGAAACTAGAGAGGGGGAGGATGAAAGAAGTTTGAGAAGATATTTTTTGGTCAGGTTCTCTACCTGCCATTTATCCCTACATCTAACCCATGATTATTAACCGATAGTGTAATGCAGTGGATAACAACATGAGATCTGAAACAAGAGTGTCTTTGTATGAACTTGGCTCCACCATCTACCCTACTTGTATATCTTTAGTTAAATCACTCAATTCTTCTGTCCTCGGTTTCCTCATCTGTGAAAAAGGCATCATAATTTTACCTACCTCCCAATTTTATCTTGAAAATAAATTAAATGAGTTAATACAAACAAGGGGCTTAGAATAGTTCCTGGCAAACAATAAGCATGTTACTGTTGCTTTCATTATTAAAGCTCGTCAAATATTACTTGAGTTAGCTTGTCATTACACTACATGGAGATGCAACAAGCAATGCTTAGTTTTGAAGAAGGGAGAGATTTTCCTGCAAAAGTTTGTATTTTAATTTTCTAACTAGATTAAAAACATGGCAGGAAAGGAAATTTGCTTATATTTTCAGTTACATATATGTATAATTTTTTACATCCCAGGAAATCAGTGAATATCAATATAACCCAGTAGGGAAGACGTGGTCCATAGAGGATGACATTGAGGATAGTTTCTAATGAGGAACCCTGAGGATTGTGTCCTAAGCCCTAGGGTGATCTCTTTCTAAATCCAGAAGCAAAGACAACAAAACTAGCCCTCTTTTCTGTCTTTTTTATATTGGAAGAAGAATGGTTTAAATTGTGGCCAGAAAAAAATCACCAACGTTTTTCAGTAGATACAGTAAAACTGATTCTCTCTGGAATAACTTTGAAAACGGCTACAAAACATCTGGGTAAGTTCCATAGAGAGAGAACTCAAACCCAAATACAAGTATTTCCTACGCATGTTCACTGAAAACGTATCGTGCAAGCTTAATGCCTTGAAAACAAAAGTTGAAAGACTGAAAATAAATACAAGCTTGTTTGCAAAAGATGGTGCCAGCTTGGGGAGAGTAGATGAGCACAATCAGTTAAATGGAGTGAGCCTTGCAGGTCAAGTAAAAAATGTGGGCTGTCAAACTTTGCTAACAGAGTCTACATTAATGAAAAGCCTAGACTGCATGTACATAATAATATGCCACTTTACTATTTTCAGTACATTCTGTACATATGAAACGGCTAAGTGTTGCCTAGCAGAGGTCCCACCAGACCTGATCTTGCCTGATTTATAATTAGTACATTTATTTGTTAGCATGCAAATGAGTATTGCCATGGTACTTAGGAAAAACTGTGTTATTAAATAAGTGTAACATTCTTTCTGCAATCTTTCTGCAAGGATTCATTAGTGCTGCCAACATCTTTTTTTTCACAGAAGATACAAATCGAACCAGTAAAAGCTTGTGAATTTACACAATGGGAATCTATATTTTTTGGACTTGGAAGTTGGTATGAAGACATGGCAGGACTTTAAGTAAGTAACAAGCATGTAAAATGGATCTCCAAGCAGCATATAGAAGAGTCCAGATAAGATCAAAATCAAAAGAAGCAGAAACAAATCTTTCTTTTGTAAGCCCATCTGTTCCAATTTAGACTCACACAGATATGGCAATTAATATGCTTTGGAGTTAAATTTCAAAGCCCAGGTCTGCCACTTACTAGCTTTATGACTTTGGCTGACAAAGCTCTCGTGTGCCCAGAATATAGGTGAGCAGCAACATATAGGAATTACAGATTCCACCTACATCCCCACACATATATGAAAACATCAGCAATATTGAGGTATTTTATCCTAGTGGTTAAGCAAGAGGGCTCTAGAGTCCCACTGGCAGAGCTGAGAATTCTGACTTCACTACACTGAATTTTTATCAATTTGATCGACTTACCCCTCATTATTTGTTTATTCCCTCATAGTACATTGGGCATTTTGTCTCATAATGTTGTGGTGAATATTTGATAAGATCATTCTCATAAAGCACTTAGCAGCACACTGCCTACAACATAGTAAGCCCTAAATAAATGCTCTCTTTTAAAGTTTTATCCAAAATCTTTCTTCATTCTGGCTTATACCCAGTCAATTCCACTATCAATGATCTTGTTAAAGGCACTAAACCCTACCTTTATGTTATGTTGTGTAAGTCAATTGACATTTCTACACGAAGGTCCTGCAGCTTTTAATGTAGATGACTACTTTCTCTTTGTTGAAATATGGAAAGGGGGAAATATTTCAGGAAGAAGTGAGAAGGAAGCAAATTACTTAGATGATAAATTTTTTGATTTGATGCTGGCAGGGAACTGTGGATTCTCTATCTCTGGAGTGCTATAAAGTGATCAGCTAAATCAACACTTGCGTATTGAACACTCACTTGCCCAAAGCCAGGAGCTAGTTTAGATCTTCTCTGGAGGTTTCTTTTCACCTTTAGAGTCTGTAATTCTTCCCAATTAGGGAGTGACAGCAGATACCATTTTACAGCAATGGCTAAAATAGGCCTGGTATTTTATGTGTGTTGCTACAATCTTCACAATACCCCTCCACAATAGATAACATCCCAGGTTTTAAAATGATGAAATAGGCTCAGAAAATCACAGATAAAAGACATGAGGAGAGTGAGTTACAACTCCAGAATATTGGTTTTTTCATTTATTCTTATTTAAATCCAACCAATATTATTTTCTCTCTTACTATGTGCCAGGTATTGTCTTTAGCACTGATGTACAACACTGCACATAAAAGATAAAATCCATATCTTTGTGAAAATTATGCTTGAGTAGGAGAATAATATAACACAAGACTGGTTCCATGGCCTGATTCTATTCTTTTATCTCATAGAATGCACTGATGGGCTTTTTTTGTCTTGTTACCATTTTACAGTGAAGTTGAAATTTTCCCTTTCAACACAGCGTGCCATGCACCAAGGAAACCAAACAACTACCTCTGAATTCTTCCTCCTGGGACTCACGGTAGGATCTGAACAGCAGCTGATTGTCTTCATGCTGTTTCTATGCATTTATCTAATCACCATGGTAGGAAACTTACTTGTCATCCTAGCCATTGTCAGTGACACTCACCTCCACAGCCCCATGTACTTCTTTCTTGCCAACCTATCTTTCACTGACATCTGCTTCACAACCACGATAGTTCCCAAGATGTTGGCAGACATTCACAGCCAACATCCAACCATCTCCTTTGAAGGGTGCCTTACACAAATGTACTTTTTTATGTTCCTGTTAGATTTGGACAATTTCCTCCTGGCAGCAATGGGATATGATCGGTACATTGCCATCTGTCACCCATTACACTATGCTACTTTACTGAATCCCAAGCGCTGTGCCCTGCTGGTTGTGATTCCATGGGTTATCTCCAGCCTTGTCTCAGTACTGCATGTCAGTCTGCTGAGCCACTTGACTTTCTGTGATCAGAGAGAAATCCCTCATTTCTTCTGTGACCTGGAACCCATATTAAGGCTTGCTTGTTCAGACACCAAAATCAACCACTTGATGATCTTAGCCATTGGAGGTGCAGTTATCTTCTTCCCCTTCACTTTCATTCTCTTAACCTATGCTTTTATTGGTAGCACTGTGCTTAAGATTCCATCCACCAGGGGAAAATGGAAAACATTCTCCACATGTGGCTCACATCTCTCAGCTGTATCTCTCTTCTATGGATCCATTGTTGGAGTCTACTTTCTCCCTTCTTCTGCCTACTCAGCACAAAGGGATAAGGTAGCTGCTATCATGTACACAATTGTAACACCCACCATGAACCCACTTATCTATAGTCTAAGGAGCAAAGACACGAAAAGAGCACTGAGGAGACTATTCAGCAGCAAAAATTTTTTCTGGAGTTGGTGAGCTCTGCCATGAAAGACATTTTTACCAACTTTTTGAACTAGGACAACTGTGCAGAGACTTCAAGGCCTCAGGCTACTGTACTCTCTTAGCAGTTTCCTTCCCATCCACTTCCTGCCTACAATCTAGTCTCAAGACTTTAGATCACACTCATGTCACCAGCATACAAGAGCACATAAACAAAACAAAATGCTCCTTTCTTCCGGTCTTCATCACTTCAATACAGAGTTTTTCTGAAATTAACTCATGAGTGGATATTCAGTGTTTAATAATTGTTGCTAATTGTTTGGGTTTGTGTCTTATTTCTTCCCCTATCTAATTTTACATGTTAGACTTACTATGATTTGGATCTAAAAATGTTTCGCAAAATTTTCCTGTGTTCAGAGGCAGAGTTTTGGGAATCTGGTTGGATTATGGGAGCATTAAACTCATCAGTGGTTCAATGCATTGATAAGTTAGTAGATAAAAGGACTGTTTGGTAGTAGGGCCTAGAGTTGGAGAAGATGGGTCACAGCAGCATGACCTGGAAGAATGTACTCCTGATTATCTATCCCCTTCCTATGCCCCCCACCCCTGCTCTCTTTCTTCCTTGCCAGCTCGCTATTTCTTGGCTTCCATATGTGCATCTTTCTTCCACCATGACGTTTCTGTCCTGGAGCCAGGGACCACGGACTGAAACCTCTGAAACCATGAGCCAAAATAAACTTTTTCTCCTTCAAAAGTATTCTGTCAGGTGTTTTATTCCAGAGATAAGAAACTGACTAATGCAAGACAGTGCACTGGAAAAGAAGGGAGGAAGAAAGGAAGGAAGGAAGGAAAAAGAAAGGAAGGGAGGAATGGTAGGTGATGATGATAGCTCAACTTACCTTATGGATAATATGAAGTTAAAGTTCACAACTTCCAAATAAGAACTTGATGCTAATTAAAACCTTGTGAAGTAAATATTACATTGTTCCCATGTGCCAATTAAGAAAAAAAAATGTACCAGAAGACAGAAAAAATGAACATACAACCATCTCTCTTGTCCTGCTATGAGGCAGAAAGAGGCTCCTCACCAGTTAAACTCTGCAGCATTTAAGATTCTTTTCCACTAGAACCCACATACATTTCCAGGAAAATGGAATGTCACTCACTACCCCCTACACCATCCTTGGCACACTACAATTTATCAACCAGCCATTTTGTCATTACTTGAGCAGCCTAAGGATTTGCATGGCTCATCTCTTCTCCTTGGAATATCTGTCCCACTCTAATTTCCTAAAGACATTCAATACTTTTTTAAGACTATATCTTACATGTTACATGCTCTGTGAGCTCTTAGATACTTCCCACATCTTTCTAGGTACAAAATTGACATTTTCTTTAGGCTTAAATAGAATTTTTTCAATTATTTTTATTTATTTTTATACTGAAAATTGACTCCAGAGCTTCAGAGATACCAAACAAACTAATACTGAGCTACACACTCAGGCTTTAGCACATTGATTTAGTAGCCCATGCCATATATTATATAATTTAACACAATGAATATTGGTAGCAAGATATTTGTTTGTATCATCCAAAATGCCCTGAGCTCTTAGGGGTAGGTTATGACTGTGTTTTTTTTGTTTTTGTTTTTGTTTTGTTTTGTTTTTGTTTGTTTTGGTACCGGGGATCAAACTCTGGCCCTTACCACTTGCAAGGCAGGCGCCAGAATGACTGAGCTAAATCCCCAGCCCTTGATTGTGTTTTATTAGGTTCCTTAGCTCTATCCTGAAGGTAATGCTTAGAACACAGTATGTGCTCAGTAAGACAAATCAAATAAAGAAATTTTAAAAAACCTTAGCTTTAATTTATCTTCTGATGACTTCTTGAATAATTCTAGAAGAAGAAATTAATTTCTCTAAGATTCAGGGTCCCACTAGTATAATCTATGAATTGGTTATACTAACTTCTGTCTTCTGGCTACCTCCTTAACCATGTTGGACACTTTACAATTAAAACATTCGGAGATGGAATACTGTGAAAGAGTTATATTAGAGAGTTGCCAGGAATCCAAAATAAAACAAGAGAGCCATAAAGAAATCGAGAATTTTAAACATGCACAGAATAACATACACAAGAATATAAAGGCGCGAGGTACACAGGGTTTCATGTGTGTCTGAACGTTAACATATTATGCCTGGAATCTTTAATGCTTTGTATAATATCTTGTCTGATGATTGAATAAGCTTTAGTCTTTTTATGCAACTGTTGACATCAAAATATATCTTGCTGAGTTGTCCAGGTTAAATGAAGTTGACTCATTTCATGGCACTTTCCATGAGTAAGTTTGTGCTTTGTAGTTACATGGACACCAGAAATGTCTAGTCACTGTACTTTTAAGGCATGCTCATCACAAAACTGTTTAAGTTTAATCAATAGAGGCATTGGAATGAGAACATTTTAGAAATTAAGAATGAGTGTTTAGAAAAACAGAAATTTCACATAGCCATGAAATTTTTATTTCATTTTAAAGAAATTTCATGTTGTGAAAATGTAAAACTTAAACAATAAAACGCCATTTATTTAACAATTTGAGTAATACAGGATGACTATTTCACCTTCTCCTCTTCTTTTGTCTTCTTCATCACCAAATCTTAAATAAAACTGTATGCAAAATATCTTTGTAGCAATACAATTTGGATTTAATATTGGTTAATACAAATTTAAAAATTAATTAAAGCAAAAGTTTATAAAATGCTATCCTCACCATACACATACCTTTAATAGCTTATTTTTCAGAAAACTCTGTTTGAATTATTACATAAAAAGATATATTCCTTAACTAATATTTGGATTTAAGACCTTTTCTTTTATTGAGTGTTGACTGAGTTCTGTGTAATTTTTCTTGCACAAACTTTGCCCACAGTACATCAGATTTGACTTTTGAGATTAGTTTCTTTTAAATGAAGCAAGAATTTAAAAGATACTGTGAGAGCAAGCTACGTATAGTATGATCCTTCTTAATTAGTTTTCAATATCCTTTTGTATCTAATTCAGCAATTATATCTAATTTACTATCTAATGAGTGACTTTGTTGAATCTTTTTCAAAGCATATAATTTAGTTTGCATAGAAACACCTTTCAATCCCTCCATTTTGCATTGATTCATACACATTTAGCTAATCTTAGCCTACATAAAAAAGTGCAAATAACACAAATAGGTTTAGGGAAAAACAAATGATGCTTGGTAAGGTAATCCAGAATCAGTGGGATAGAATCATAACAGTGTGGGCATATTCAACAATAGCCAATTTGTTTAAGTATGTACTAGTGTATGGCTGTTGACCACAAAATTTTGCAGAACATAGGTAGTGCCTTTAATCTACAGACTTTACAGTAAGATCAATTAAAGGGGATATTTATATATATTGAAAAGATAGAAGATCCACTTAGATTACAGCTAAATTTAAGGATGTTTGTTCTTTCAGTCTATTTGCCCACTTTATCTTGGGTCATATGTAGAAAGTTGGTCCCTAATAAAAATCAAGAATGGGGCCTGGGATTTAGCTCAGCGGTTCGGTGGCCTGCCTCGCAGGGGCAAGGACCCGAGTTCGATCCCCGTTACCAAAAAAAGAAATCCCCGTTACCAAAAAAAAAAAAAAAAAAAAAAAAAAAAACAAAAAAATAACAAAAAAAAAAAACCCCCTTAAAAAAAAAAAAAAAAAAAAAAAAAAAAAAATCAAGAATGGTCTAGTGGCTAACTACAGCTTACTTATGCACTGAGGATAATCTCCTCTCCTCCCCAGCCTCTTCCAAACCAACCAAAATTATTGGTTCAGGAAAGGTAGTAATATTATGGGACCATTGCCACATAAACCCCCCAAAACACTTTGGTCCAGGTAATACCATAAGTTCAGAGGAGGCCAGAGCAGATCACTCTTGGTTTAAAATGGTGTCCAAATGACAAAAAAATCCTCTCCTGTATTACCTGCACTGCAGATGGGACTAACAAAAAACAAGACCTTAACTCTATGTTGCTGATTTTAGAGGAAATGGGTATTTTGGAACTTCTAGTTTCAAGAAGGGAGAAGCTGTGTCTTCCTCATCTCTGAAGGCCTAATCTCCACCATGATGCCTTTCCCAGTAAAAGTTAAAACTACTTGTGAAGTGAATGAATGAAGTTTACTTGTAAATCTAAGATATTGGGTAAGATTATGCTTGAGTCTGGGAATTGAGATAAACCAATTACAGTACCTGATCCCCAAAATATCCAAAGCTTCAACAAATCTGATAACATATTAAACAAATTCATTTGTAGAAAAGGTCAATAGTAGCCAATAGGGTATGACTTGAGAGGCCTCAAAAATATAAAAAGGAGGCATAAGTGACATGGTTATAAGATTTCATATGAAGAAACTCAAATCCTTTATTACAAATAGATTTATGATGCTCTCAATATGAGATAGAGAAAATGGATCCTGTCCATGAAGGTTATAGTCATAACTAACAGTCTTAATGTAAACTACTAAATAATCAAAGAAAAATACATAAATTAAATATACTGCTGAATGAATGATGTTTTTATATTGGGAGGCAACAAAGGTGAAGAATTAGGAGCAAGAATTTTTAGAGACATAGAGTAAGGTAGCCATGACTCTTTGTGCTAGTGCCTCGAATTCTTAGTTTTATGACCTTGAACAAGTCATTTTATCTTGCTAACCTCAATTGTACATGTGAAAATGAGGTTAAAGTAACAGTCTCAGTAATTTGTTTCAGAGATTATATAAAGTAATTGTTGTGCATGACCTGGCACACAATCCATCTTTATTAAATATTAATTCCCTCTCCTTGATGTTTAAAATTTGAGGAACTCAAAAGACACTAAACTCCAGGAAGGTTAGCTCAAGGGGGACAGATATTTAGAAAGCTGTCCAAAAGAAAGAAAGAAGATGGTCCAAAAGCAAAAACAGATGTGAAAGAAACACACATAAGAGGCACATGAAGACTTAAGGAGGTGAAGGGAGGGCAGAGGTAAGGGG